TTTACTTATGCACGCAAGTGACTAAAAAGTACCATAAAATAATAAATAAAAATTCATTAAAATTATTAAAAAATAATAATGTTTAAAAATAAAAACAACTGTATGCTCTGTATGAATTACATATTTAGCAAATATACATAATTACAATATTTAAACTTTAGCTAGCACATACAAGTCAGTTTCACTCAATGCTAATTTACAATGATTTCGCGCAGGCGTTCTGTGGCTAATAAGTAAGAAAGATCGTTTAATACTAGTCGGAAAGGAGCAAAAATAAAAATATTAAATAAAATTTTCAAAACAAAACTTGTGAAGACGGCTGAAAACTTTTTAGCTGGAAAGCAGTATGCACTTTTATATATATTTTTTTATTTTTCTTGTGCAAACTTAATGTGTACTTAAATATGTATGTATTTAGGATGTGCAGGTGACATGCCACACAACTATCTGATGCAATTCTTTGGTCACAAGTTATTTACATACATATGAATTTTGTTTCGTTGTGTGATGAGAGCGAGAGAACTGAAAACTTTTACTTTTAATTTTGCTTTATTGGCGGATTTGGTGTTGCCGGACGTTCAGTATATACGTATGTATCAAATTGGGCTGCATTCAAAGTTGAAATGTACAAGAATGGCTGTGGTTTTGTTTTTGCTTGCCGGCAGCCGCAATTATCGAACGCATTTACCTTTTCGTGTTTGTTTTGTTTGGTTTTTGCTTTTGTTGTTTTTGCCAATATGTATATGTGGAGATCGCCACTCTACACTAATTATAATAATAACTCCTAATTTTTATTTGTACTGTACATAATAGTTATTCGTATCATACTTCTTGAGTTGCCATTTTATGTAATTTATCTATTATTAAAACTTAACGAATGTAAGAATGTTAGATCAAAAGCACAAAATTGAAATATAGTTCGTCATCGACCATCGAAGTGTTAACAACGACTCACTTAGTACCGCATCACCACCAAATATACATGCAGCGATGGCATGTGCAACGCGTGAGTCATGTGATCTGTAGTATGTTACATAATGTGGCAGGCATATATGGTGTTTGGATGTGTGATGCTCGGTTTGCTGGCTATGAACTTTGATTGTATGAGTGTATGTTCACTTTGTTGCATGTTGCATGGTTTGTTTGCAATTTTTCGGTTTGGTATTATTTTTTATTTTTTTTGGATTTTTTTGATTCATTTAAAATGAGTTTTTGTTTGGTTTTTTGTTGTTTTGTTGTTGTAAGTTAATTTATACATACAATTAATTATTTAAGAAAAGAAATTTCGCTATTGCTATCATGAGGATATTTGAGAAGAGAATGCACAAGTTAGTGCCTAACGGATAGCTACCTCCGTTGACGACGACGTCCCGCTCCTCCAGCATGGGATAGTCGATGACATGTATTATGCCGTTGGTGCACTCGACATCCGGTCGGTAAACGTTGATCTTCTTGAAATTCCAAGTGATAACATAACCTATAAATAAAAATGGAACTTGTTGTATTAATTAATAAGAATTAATTCATGTTAAAAATTAGGCGATAAATATTTAAAAGCTATGTAATGCGTATGAGTATATGATTTGGCAAAAATTATATACATACATACATATGTGAAGACAATCATGTGAAATGTTTACAATTTTTTCTTCTAATAAAAAATTAAAAACAAATAACGGTGAGTTGAGTACATATGGACTTTATGTATATGGCCAAAGAAATGGAGTTGCCAACTAATATTCATTGAATAAACAAAATTTTACTAAAAGGTGGTTCTAAAATGTATTATAATACTAATTTAACAATAGTTGTTTTGGTAGAAATAGCCTGTATAAATTTGTTGTAGACCTAGTCTTATCCTATATTTCTAAAAGTTTGTATGTAATACTTTGAGTATTTTCCTCTGCTTTTACTAACTGCTCAACGTTAGAGAGAATCCCATGAATATTTATCGAAATCAAAACAAAATTTTCTTCGTGATACGACAGGCGAATCCATAAAAATCTCTTTTTTTCTTTTTTTTTTTTGCAGACATTTGTCACAAGAACATGTTCTCTGCGACTTTTGACAAACAAGTTAACACAACCCTAACCGTTTATGTACACGTGAAAACTACAAAATAAAACTATTTTCAAAACTCAAAACTAGTAACTGTTGAGTTATGAAGGAAAATCGGTGATGATATACAACAACATGTTAAACAAAAAGCGCTATTACTAATTAATGTTTAGATGAGTGAATTTGCAGCGGGTAATTTTCAACGGTCGCACCACTCACCAGTCCACTCATGTGAAGCATATTCATCGTGAAGGTCTTCACGTAAGCAATTAAAGCGAAAATATTTTCGTTTTTAGAAAATGGAATGAAATATTTTTGTAATTAATATTATCAATTAGTTTGCTGTAATTAAGTAATACTAGATAATACTATAATTTTATTCGCAACCATAAACCGTATATTTATTGATCCCTCATTTTAACAAGTACAGTCATGTTCAATTATACTTATAAGTATATAAAGTAATTGTAGAGCGTAATACTTACGTCCAGCTTCCTCTTCTACTTTGACTTTCAAGGAATCTCTGTAGGTAGGCAGCAAAATGGAGTCGCCAGACGCAGCTGTCATGGCTACCAAGTCGTTCATCGTGTACACATTATCGGCAATGACCAAGTGACGTTCCAATATTGATCTTGACTGTAAGTATTTAAAGGTTTTGATTACTTTCTCCTTATACATTATATGTTAAAAGTTATTGAACCTACATGGTAGGAGAAGTCTTCCATGAAGAGTTTCTTATGTGTTGAAGGATAGTCCAATTTGGTCTTTTGCCAAGCCTTGTCACGTGGCACGAAGTAGGTGAAGCGACGTTGTGTGTTATTCAGTTGATTGTTAAAGGCGGAGAATTGACCCAATTTGAAGGTATCACTGGAAGAAAAAATAAATTTTAAGTTTTAAATAGAAATCTTAAAACTATACAAACTCGTTATTTTGTAACGGAATTGTATTTTATATCTGTGAGGTGGTAAGCTTCCAACAGTTCTAAATAACAAATAGGTTAGATGAAATCGGAGTGCAATCGCAAATACTTCCAATATAAAAAAGTTTTTAATTTAATAATTCGAGCACCTGTCTTCATTGGTATAGAATTTTGCAAGAATAGTGTCTGAGAGATTCCAGAGCTCAGATACCAAATATGTAGCTCTCAGTGCATATGTCTGACTTTAAGTTTTTATAATATATATAATAAAGCTCAGGGAGAGTATCTGCTTTCGTGCCAATAATAGTTATGATAGGGCCAACTACTTCCTCCAGCTCCCATTTAGCATGAGCATATTAACTGGTTTTATGATCTATATTGAAGTTAGGTATCAAATATGATTGTGATGTCCACGGCTTTGAATTTTTAAAATAACAAGAGAACAAAATATTCGGTTGAACCCAACCATAGAGCCTTCCTTGTTTGTTTTGCATATATAATATTATATCCACTAAACAGAGAATCATTTGGGACTGCGGTTACTTTCAAAATTTGCAAGAGAGCATTTGCTGTTATTTTTACTCTGACATCACAAAATCTCCTTATTTCATGGCTCCGACTTTTCCTGAACCCACTAGACAAACGATTATGAAGAAGCAATAACACAGTAAAATAATTCTAATGCTAATGAAAGGAAGTGTACAGAATATAATTTAAGATAAACCCTAGTATTAATCTCTATTCGAAAAAGCATCCATCTTTATCAAAATATTTCTCAAAATGCCGCAAATAAAAAAAAGTTGTTTTTACCTCATCATGGGATCCGTTTCGAGTTTTTCGAGTACAGTTGTATATGGGACGCCCAAAACTTTATCAATAATGTGTACATAACCGTTAGTTTGAGCGACATCCGCTTGCAGCACAGTTGCGTTAACGCCACCGCCTTCAACAGTTATCATTTCTTCACCATTTTCTTCTTTGATGTTGAAGTACAAGAATGTACGGTTATTGACAGTTGGCACCTGAGCAATCTGCAAACGTAACGGTGAGATTAATTAATCTTATAATTAATAATACTACCATATATAGTAAATAAATATTTGCTTACAATTTTTCGAATATTGCAAAATATAAATATTGGTTGTCAAAAAAGTCTTGCGGTATTTTTTATTGAATTTTCAATTGTTCACAAAATTTTTTTTGATGACTCATGCCCAGCACTTGACCGATGCTACGGATGCTACTATGCTGGTTATTATAAGAATTGTAAAATTCAAGTTTTAAAACAATAAAGTCATACTTTCTGAAATTGGGCGCACTGTGTCAATTTTTTATTTTTGCTATAGCTTATATATATGCAAATATTATAATATTCACTTACAATATTCTTGTTCTTTTGGCGAATTCGATCAACATTCAGTTTGTCCTTGATAATATGCATATTCAGGATATCACGCAATTTCTCACGATTTCTATAAAATAAAATAAAATTTTATTATCTTCTTACATACTTATATTTGTATATATGTAGTTTGGCAAAAAATATCTCACCTTATTAGATTTTGTACATCTTTGGCCTCCCAGGCATCATTGCTAGGTGCCAAAATTGTAATTTCACCCAAGTTGCTAATGTCGGTTAACACCTCGCCACCGTTATCCATAATTACGTCGTAAAATTTGCGTAGAGCGCCATTTTCATTATCCTAGACGGTGAAAATAATAATGAGAAAGTATTAGTATTTACTGTTATTTGTGTTTGTATGTGAACATTTATGTAAAAGCAATAATTTTGTATTGAATAAAGTAACCATAAACAAAATAGTTGTATGTAGGTACATAATATAATATATATATAATATAAATAGATGATTTATCAAATTAGTAAGGCTTTAGCGCGCCTGCAAACATTTTAATGAGTTTAACTTATATAAGTATGTACGTACAGACAATTACTATATATAATATTCAAAATAGTCGATACAAGTTTTTAAATGCACATTAATGTATATACACATAAATACTAATAATAATGGTACATTTAAGAATAATTTATGTCATAAGTTAAAGTTTATTTGAAATTGTGAATAAATATATATTAAAAGAGTTTAATAAGAGCGGGAGATAAATGTGAGTATGGGAAATTAAAGCATTTCCAATGTCATAGCATAGAAGTATAGTACGAGTATGTGGCTTATAGGAAGTGAAATGCTAAAATTAATAGCTTTATATATGATTATCCGATATAATGAATATATATTGTTGTATGCAAGGGAATGTCTGCTAGTGTGCAGGTGACAGATACTAATTAAATTCGGCGTGCTGTAGGCTAAGGTTAATGGACTTTAATGCAATGTGTTTCATTCATTGAAAAGGTTGCAATTGTTTGCAATATGTAACCTATATAATATACATAATATATATCTATAGTATTTCAGCAGATTTGTTAATGTAAAAAATGCAACATTGTTATTTGGTTTAATGTTTGCCGTAATAAAGAATTTTAACGCAGAATTCCGAAATCCTGACGACAAGAATTTTGATATTTAGTTGCTTTTGCAATTTTCGACACCTTTGTCATTATTAATTTAAAAGTTAATCGATCTGACACTCCTTGGAAGATGGGTATGTGGTCAGAAGACAGAGATGTGGCGCTCTATGGACGTTATTATTATTGTGGCGTCAAAGTAAAGTGCTGCTCACGGATGTTATCTAATGTACATTCCAACTCAATTTTTGCAATACTATAGTTTTGCTACTTCGGATTGAGTAGGCCGACGAACAAAGCTCAAACTCTATAAGTCACTCATAATTACTGTCCTGCTATATGGTGCAAAGTCAAGACGAGGACAACATCTGATGAGTCGGCATTACGAATTTTCGAGAGAAAGGTTCTGCGGAAAATTTATAATCGAATAATGCGAATAACGCATTCGATGGAACTATGTGCTGTACACGTTATACGACGACATTGACATAGCTCCTCGAATTAAGAGACAGGGACTAACCCTGCTGTCATCCGTGTGGATGAAAATACTCCAGCCCTGAAAAATACTTCCCGCCGGGGGAAGCAGAGGAAGAGGAAGGCCTCCACATCGTTAGAAAGATCAGGCGGATAAGGATCTGGTTGCACTTGCTATCTCGAATTGGCGCCTAATTGCAAACAGAACAAAATGATGTCGCACTGTTGATAACTCGTAAGCAGTGTCTACGCCAGTAAAGAAGATAGTTTTTTAAGTAAAAGCATCTTCAGTTTTCATAAAAGAACTGAATCTTTATGTCAAATTCGAAAGTTGATTGTTGTTAAAATATTGATTGATATGTTAAAATATGTATCGAAAATACATTTTGGTCGATTCTGGGACGTTCGTATTCAATGGATAAGTAACAAGAGATAGAGGTACATACATATGTAAGTACATATGTAATATTTTATTAGAACTTATCGGGACCTTACTACAGGCTTTTTCCGGAAAGTAATAAGACTGATTTTCTTCCGCGACTGTACTTGGAAGCGTGCGCGCACCGACTGGATTCGGTAGATGGCGTTCCTAGCTAACGAACGAGTGGCTGGTCAATTGTCTCCGGGCACCTGAAGAGTCAGGACAAACACTTTCTCGCGACGTGTTTCTGCGAGTGGTGCAGTCCGAAAATGCAGCGATCGTTAGAGCAGTTTAAGTTGTGTGAAACTCGATAAATCTGCGACAAAGACGTTCGACTTCAACAGACACCGATAAAACGTCCACCATCAATTTGTTCCTCCTGGACAAACCATCAACGTTTTACTAGGGAGCTCTCAAGAGACTCAAAGAAAGGGTCAATCGGGTCCGACGAGATATTGCAGCCGATTGTAAGTTTCACCACGGCAACACCCCGGCTCATACAGCCCTTCTTTTGAACAGCTACCTAATGAGATGTGGCCACCCGAACATTTTTTGTCTCCTTGCCTGAAAAGGCCGATGAAATTCAAGGCTTTTGAGACGAAGCAGCATGCACCTCGACTGTCAAGGCTATTCCGAAGAATGCGTTCCGCCTTCAATGCTTGGAAATCGAGCTGGCAGCACTGCATCGACGAAGAAGAGCCTATTTTGGAAGTTTTTAAAGAATTGTAACGATTGGTTCAATAATTTTTTTTTAAGCGACTCAGTCCAATTACTTTCCGGACAAACCCTGTATGATCAAAAAAGAGAGGGAAGAGCTTCGAAGAAAGTCGAATTAGCTTAACATATGTAATTCACTAGCTGGCGTATCTCAATCCTACCCGATAGGTGTAGAAAATTTAATTACTTTGTGTAAACAAAAATGCGCAACTCTTATGTTTAGATGTATGTGTTTGTTTTATATGTGTATACCTTATACATATGTATATTAATTGAGATCAATACAAATCACTTCATAATGCATTATTAGAACAATAATTTTGCACATTTACATAGTATTTATATGGAGCAGATTTTGCAATATTAGTCTCTTTTCTTCATGTCAAATATTTTAATTCTAGTCAAGCATACGATTTATTTAAATAATTTTAGTTGTGTTTTTTTTATTTTTTATTTTTTGCAAATTTCGTACATACTTACATTCATCAACTACGCGTTTTGCGAATTGTTGTTGTTGTGATAATGAGTTTTGATATTGGTTGTGTTTTTGGTTTTTGTGTCAACAACGACAGTTAGAACGCAGGCAGAGCAGCGACAGAAACATTTATGTTTTGTTTTAAGGTCGTTGCACGCAGATAGAGAGAGTGTTTGAGGATTGCCATCAGCGTACGAGTTGCCGACAACGTCAAGAAAATACACAATCAATTGAAATTCAATTAAAGTACTTTGTGATTTTTTGCTTACTTTTTTCTTTAATATTTTTTTGTTTTTATTTTGAGTTTAGTTCTAAACGATTTGCAATAAATTGTATCTATGTATGTATTTATGTATAAGGGTTTCGTGCAATGTTGTGTTTTGGCACTTGGTTCGTGTTTCTCTATATATTTTATGCATAATTTGGAATAATTGTGTTTACATTTGGTTTTCTACTTTTTTCTCTGCTATGTTGCATTATGGTTGGTGGCAAGCAAGGCAAAAATGCGCATTTCGCAAATGAAAAATACGATATATTGCAATACATACATATGTACATACATATATTCGTACATGCTAACGGTTATATGAGGATTTCAGATTTAGGGTTAGTTCTCAATCTTATTGTTGTTTTAGTCATTTATAATTAATTTTTTTTAAATATTTCTCACAAAAAAAAATATTTTGTTCTGCTCGGATAAAAATTGGGAAAAGTAGAATTCGCCTTAATTAAAAATTTTGATCTACAAGTTCATTTTCTAGACGTTATCCCTTTTGTCATATACCACTAAGCTTGTATTAGAGTGAGATGATACAACAAGGGATGTAGTCGTGACTGCGACGACTGTTTGTTTGATGACAGGAGATATTTCACTCCCATGTTAAAACACAATTCTGGTATACATAGATATGTACATATATATTTATATAATTAAGTCAAAAGTTGTGTAATATTATTTAACTTTCGAAACTCTCCAATGCATAAACATTTTTTTGCTAGCATTCTCAGAATATTGAGTTACATATGCTAGTTTAAGTGTGAACAATTTTTGTGGCGAAAATGTTAAATTCGATAAAAATTAAAAAGATTCCACGTTTATCGAAAATAATTTCTTTCACTATTCATAATTTTGAATATCGGCGGATTTTGAAACCAGGTGATAAAATATCATGCAATAAATATAACAGATTGTAGACAGCGTAGCGCTGATTTTGACTGTTGCATGCTGGTCACTCTTTGATGTACTCGTATATTTATGAGTTCCTTGTACTCATATTTCTATATGTAGATATATGTGTATTTATTATAAATAAAATATAAACATGTGCATGCAATTTCTTTGTTCTTAATTTGATCAGCTAAATCTAAGTATGTACATATTTTGTGTAAGCTTCGATTGAAGTGAACTTCTTTGGAAGTGCATTCCAATATTATCTTAAAGTGTCTCGAAATGCTTTGATTTTTCCAATTTTTAGTACAATTGTAATGAAAACACAGCTCTGTGACATTACTAAAAATTTCTATTCTAAATGTGGTGGCTTCAAGTAATCTATAAATATGAGAAATATAAAGTACATATAATTATGTACATATACAATAAATGATCAGCATGTTGAGTTGAGCCCATTCAGCCGAGTCCGTTTCGCTGTGTTTTTCGGTTTTTGAGACATCGATCTGAAATTTGCACAATTTTTCCTCTTCATGAAGCTGCTCTTTTGTTGGAGCCGCCGATATGGAACCACTATAGCACTATAGCTGCTATAAAAATTAAACGATCGGCAATAAGTGCTTGTATTGAAAACTTTTTCGTTTGACGAGATATCTTATCAAAATTTGGCATGGACTATTGCGCAAGGGTATTGAAGGGTATTCTAGCGTCGTTGCGACCGAAGTTAAACTTTTTTTGTTTTTAATATAAATCTACCCAGAAGATGTGTCACGCACTTAAAAAAGCTCACTGTTTCTAGTAAAGGTGTCAATGAAATTTATAATGTTAAAAACTAATCCTAAACTATGGTCTTTAATCTTTCAAATATTTTTTATCTCATGCTTTGAACTCCAACAATTTCAATATTATTATCTCCCATAATTTTTTTTTAATATTTAGCCCTTGCATGCTTTAAAAGTTCAATAGTATATGCATATTATTCCAACTTATTGCCAATATATGCATTTTACAATAATGTATGTATGCAAATAAGTATGTGTGTGACATGGAGTATATGTATTTATGCATAAGTATGAATATTGTAATGTAATTTATTTGTTTGCCTAAATGTTTTGAGATAATTTTGAGATTACAAATTCATATATACTGCATATATAAATATGTATGTTTGTGTACGAATATATATGCATACTGTTTGAAGTATTTACCTTAAATGACTAAAATGTTTGTTTGGTTGCGTGAGTTCCGGAGCGTTGCATATAATAAAAACAAAAAAGTTCACAAATAAAAATCGTAACAAAACAGAACAAAAAACATTCGCAGAGAAGAGTACAAAGAAAATACCAGAGTCAATATTGTTTTCTGCTCTAACACAGCAATCACATCAAACAAATAAGGAACGGAATTTTAATAAAATATACTATATGTATACTATATAATATTCGTATGATATATGAAATGCCAATGCTTGATTTGTACTCGTACAGGACTGTTATGGAGTCAATAGTTGCTGTTCATATTAACTTGAATGTTTTGGCAAAATTAAAATAATTTCACTAGTGTTGATGACGGCTTGAAGCGTGTAACCAATTGTAAAGTAAGTAAAAATTGCAGGTGCAAGAAACGAAACTGAAGGTCAAATTTAAATCATTTAAGAAACTAGCTTAAAGTAGTATTTTATACATACTATACTTAGAACTTATTTTGTTTTACTTTAATTTATCCTTTTTTATGTCACAATAATAATTATTATTTATTTAAATTTTATTATAAATGAATGAAATAAAACTTTCATCATAAATTATTTTAGTGATTTATTTCAATTAATTATTTTTTATCAAATTATTTGGTACAATATTTGGTTTTATGTTAAACATATTTTATATTTATTATATTATTATTTTTGTATACCCAGAAGGAAACATCGGAGAATCCATAGAATATATATACATATATGCGGGTGATCAAAGTAGGGGTACTTTATTCAAAAATGATGGCAGTAAGAACGATAGCGTCGATCCCCGAAATTAAACCTCGTGATCTTGGCGACAATTGGTTTCAACAAAATGGCTCCACTGCCCACACTTCCCATTATTTATTGAGATAACACTTCGATTGACCACCAAGACCGTGTAATATCATATCCTTAGAATTTTTCCTACGGGGATATGTAAAGTCTAAAGTCTATGTGGACAATCCTTTCTCGATTAAGGCTTTGGAGCAAAATATCACGCGTGTCATTCGCCAATTACCAGTCGAAATGCTCGAACGAGTCAACGAAAATTACACGCAACGGATGAACCATCTGAGACGTTTCTGCAGCCAACATTTGAAAGAGGTAATTTTCAAAAAATAAGTGCCGAAGAATGTTTTTTCGAATGACAATAAACATCGGCACTAATTTTTTTTTTAACAGTATGGAACCTTGAAATGAATCATCCTTTATATGTAAATGATTAACATGACGAGCTGAGTCGATTAAGCCATACCCGTCTCACTGTATATCTGCATATACTTGAAATAATCCCAGAGTTTTTGAGATATCAACCTGAATTGTTGCACCCATGTCCTTTGCTAATATCGGACCACTATAGCATAAGAGCTTTCAAGAGAAACTTTTTCATTTCAAGTGAAGTTCTTGTACACAATATTTTTTGTATCTGAGAATAGTATTATTATAGCTTCGCGAAATTGAAATGAATTAAAGTATTTAAAGTTAAAATATATTTACTAAGTATTATTATATATTTTATTAATATTTTTTGTTTATAGTTCTTAGTTTTCCGTTTTGTTGTCTAACAAAAATTTATGTTCTAAAAGTTTTGAAAAAATAAAATAAAATTACGAAATTATTTATAGCGCATTTGTTACAAAGTATGGCATGTAAATTTGTATTCCTGACCAAAATTATTTTTATTTAATTAAAGCAGGTGTGTGCAATTTGGCTCAGCGATATTTTAAGATTTATCTTGACAAATAGATTAAACGAAGTAACATAGTTTTATATTTATATTTTTGAAAGTAAGAAGTTTTGTTAATAACTATTCTTTAAATATTTAGTTTGTATGAGTAGTTTACGGCAATTATTTCAACATATATAATATACTAAATTTGTGCATGTGAATATTTTAAAAATAATTCTTTTCCAAAGAGTGTGTAACTTCTTCTATGCTCTAATCTCTAACTAATAATATTATAAAAGTCTAAAGTCTATGCACTGCACTTGTGTACTGAAGATGCTTATTTTTGGTAAACAGTGTAAGTTACTGCTAATGTGTATGGATAGTGGGCGTGAACTTGAGAACGAGCCAGTTATGAAATGGACGAGAATGTAGTAATGATATATACAGCTTCCATTTTCGCTAATAATTTTTTTTTTGTTGAATTTTTTAAAATTCGAAATTTTGAATTTATTTGATTTATTTGGATACACAAAGAAATATTAACTAATTTTATCAATTGAGATGCCAATTGTGACGCTTAGTCTGTAATTATTCAACTGACTGATATGACTTATCAGATGACGATTTTGGGGTGGTGTGAGTGAACGATGATCTAATTTGTTATTCATAACAAAATTACAACGTTTATTGGTTTTGTATACTTACATCGCACCCAAAATTTTTTTAAAATAAAATTTATATTTTAAAAATTATTTTAAAATAAAATTTTGCTTATGATTTTACATCAAACCGAAAACGAATTACAAAATCGCACATTTGCTAATTCAAGTTCGAGGTAAAATCAGTCTATAGGGTTTTTGTTTTCTATTTATTTAAAAATTGTGTTCTTGTTTGCATTTTGTAATGTTTTTGTTTAAATATTTGAAATATTTGAATTTTTTTGCTGTTTTGTTATGTTCTTGTTATGTATTTATCAATGATTGGAAACCAAAAAAATGAAAACGTACGCTCATTGCAAAATATACATAAAATTGCTAATTTTTATAGCTTGTTTTTTTTTTCAATATTAGAAATTTATGTGCATTCACTTTGTTCGTACGAGAAACCTGTTTGAGTTGTAAACAACTGTTTTCAAGCGACCGTAGCAGGTTCAAGTCAGATCAAAGCTGCAAAATGTGCGCTGGGCGTTTAATGAAAAACAATTAGTGCTTGAAGACAAATTACAAATTTCTGAACAGCAATTAAAAACATTAAATATTTATATATTTAGACATTTATGTTGATTAAATCAGTCGAGTCGTAATAAATATTTTACTTTATACCACTTTTTTTTTATATATAAGATAGATTGCTTTCACTTACTGGCAGTATATTTTTAAACATAAAGTTTAGCTAGAAGAGCTCAAAAAATAATATTAACGTAATTATTCTCATATTATAAAATTTGTTTATTTTTTTAATTTTACACGTCTTATTTACAAAAGAGCTTAATAAGTTAACTACGAAAGGTTTAGGTACTAGGCTTTGCTAAAATAATAAAAAATGCGCCTAATTGTAGTCAACATTTACTTCTTTTGCTGACAATTTTGCTGATATTAACTTTTTGTCCTAATTTTTTAGTTCGAGTTAGTAACATTTTTAGTTCGAATTATTGCAGTTCAATTGTGCTTAAACAATGCACCTTATAATATTAATTTCTGCAGTTTCCCTAAACAGTTTTTTCCTGTATTTATTTATCATTTCCAATTGCGGAACAACTAATTACATAATATACTTCCTTATTAATTAAGAAGTATTTCATCTTTTCATATACATCTAACAGCTTATTGCAATAGTACAGGTACTTTACTTCTAACAATAAGTTACGTGGGACGACATGACGTATGAGCGACATTTAAGGCGTTATACGAGTATACACACCCTCATGCGAATTTCAAAAATCGGTTTGTATTTTTTCAAATATTTATGTATATCTAATGTAAACACAGTTGAGAAAATTCTCCGAAAACATTAAGTTGCTCTGAAAATTATTTTCAGAGATATGAACTTATTTGTAAGAATTTTTTAAGTTGTGCAACCGGTTCCCAAGACTGGGTTTTCCTCAAAACATTTTTAGAGTCGGTGTTGAAAATTTTGCTGAAACGGTTGAACCTATCAACTAGAAATCTTTACAAGATATATTTGTCAGGTACTGATGGAAGGAATATTATTTTCGATAATAATTTCGGGTTTTTAATCAACTCTAAAGTGTAATTTTTTTCAAAAAATTTTGTCAAAAATCATAAAGTTTATATAAATTCAATGATAATCTAAGTTCATCAATATTAATAATAGTTCTTCTCGGTTTTTGGATTTGCTATCATTTTAATAAAAAAAAATCGTTTTCACCGCTAAAAATATTTTTTCGAAGAAAATATTTCAAAATGAATCACCTATTATTAAAGTACAGTAATTAAATTCCGTAAATGACCGAGTTTTCGAGAGAAAACTTCTGAGGAAGATTTATGATTCTTTGCAAAAATCATTTTTTCTGGCTTGCAAGTGGATATAACCGCTTAAGTAATATTGAAATTTTCCGGTTTTAGTGCGAATAGTTCTCTAATTTTTTTAAAACTAGCGAACGATTTTCATCAGCACTAAAAAAATGCTGCTTAAGGCGAGTTAAAGAAAATTTGTTGATAGCAAAACTCTGAGTAGTCTAGACACTTGACATGCTCTGTTGATTAAATCTGCTTGAAATGTTAGAATTGTTTTATTTTCACTAAAAAAATATTTATTTAATATTTACAAATGTCTAAAATTCTGTCGATAAAATATTTGTTTATCATTTAGATTAAATCTACGTTTTAGTAAGCATAAATTTTATAAGCAAAGCAAATGTGCAGCAAATTATAAGAACGCAGACGAAGCTTGATAACTCAAATGTTTCGTTTTAAATGAGAGTATTCTTTCAAAAATTGATTTATCACTTTCATAAAATTTGTCTGTGTGAACACAAGTAAAAGTGCAATTTATCTAGTTTTGACTGTATGTAGGTGTTTATTGTGCTAAGCAGCGGGCAGTAAGCGGCGTCCAGTTAATAATAATGTTAATGTTTTTTTTTTTAGACATTTTCATCAATTTTGTATTAACTGTAAGAACTTAAATTCTCAAACACCGTTTATTACACGCGCTTGCGCTTTGTGGTTGTAAGTTAAAGTACCAACACAAATAGAATTGCTAATGTTGTTGGGCGTGTCAAATACTAGGCAATAGGTAAGCACACACACACACACACACATACACACTGGGGTTCTACAAGATAATTGTTATTGAATTTCGTCTAGTTTAGTGTCGCGGGTCACCGCACAAGCACTCACCCATTCACACAGGCAACTGCATACTCTCACTCATCGGTTGTGTATATTTGTAATCGAACACCTACCTGTAGAAATTGCGTCACCGTCGAGTCGATTATCATTAGCGGCCGATGAATCAGATGCACCACACCATTTCGCACCGGAATGTTGCCTTTGACAATTTCCGCCAACACCACACCGGTGGGGTGCTTGGCGTCACCTAAAAGAGTATTCGATTTGACGTACACTGGAAGCAGAAGAAGAGAAGAAAACGCATTAGTGGATTATACCTAACGCATATACATATGTACATGCATATGTATGTATTTGTAGATATGTGAGTAGTATAGAGTTAGCGTAAATCGACTTACTTTTGCCGTCTTTTTGTTTGAAGAAACTAACGGTTACTTTGAGATTGTCCTCGAATGCGGCTGTGGTTTGTGGCACCTCCATTTGCGCGGCTGCTGTAAAAATCACATTGTTCAGTATGACGTGTCCGTCGATGACTTTGTTGTCCACCAGGCTGCTGCGTGTGGTTTGCTATGACAATTAATTGACATTTAATTGATTAGTGGTTGCAATAAGTGGCGCTATTAAATGTCATCTAGGTATGTTTAGATGTGTTCGCAGACATAAACATAAGTATTTTGTTGTTATGTATGCAATGGGTGTTGCCCTATAGGGAAAATTGCATGGAGATGATATACAAATCGGATTTTTATTCCAACAAACGGTTTGTTAATATCGGATTAAGGCTATAAAGCGGATAAAATTGATTTGTATGATATTTTGAGGAATTGTTTTTTGGGTAGTTGTTTTTTGGGTAATAATTTTTAGTGTTTGTGTGTATACTTTTGTTTTCTGAAGCACTTGAAGGCAATCGGCGACTTTTACAAGAAGTGATATGATTCAACAAATAAGCTCCATTATATTTTATGTAGAAGCACATTAGTGCCTAAATGTTCAGAATGTTGGAAAAGACCTTCGATTATTATTTATTGTCGAGATCAAGTGCTCTTGATTGGTACAAATTATTCAAAGATGGTCGAGAACGCGTTGACGAACCACGTCCAGGACGGCCATTACATCAACAAATGATCAACATGTCAATAAAATAAAGGAATTGGTGCTTGAGAAGAACGATTAACAGTCAAAAATCTCACTGGCATTGTTGAAATATCGAAAGAATCAGTGAAACCCATTTTGAGGGATCATTTGGGTCCAAAAATGTGAAAACACGATGGGTTCCAAATTCGATGCGTTAATGACTGTGGAAACTGTGTGCTTTCCGACTACTAGAATATCATGAAACCTATTATACAAAAAATACAATCAATCGTACAAATATCGTGGCAAAGATGAGCCCGTCAAATCAGGTAAAAAATCCAGGTTATGTTGACAGTTTTCCTTGATTATCGAGGTGTGGTGGACCCGAGTTCCTTTCGGCCGACATTCTGTGAGGAAATTGTATTTGAGTGTTCTGCATCATTTGCGCGAAGCTATTCGTAAAAAGTAGCGGGAATTATGGACCGACAACTCTTGGTTTTTGCACCACGATAATTCAACATACATTCTTCGTATGTTTTTCGTTAAAGTTTCAACCGATAACGTGACGCAACCACTGTATTCGCTTGTGTGACTTCTGGTTATTCAACGGCTCCGGGGATACCGTTTTAAATCAATTGAAGACTTAAACATGAATTGCTATGCGCATTGAACGGAATAGTAACAACTATTATATTTTTAGGATTTTAATTCACGTTTACCAGTTACCAGTGGATATAACCCCTTAATACCATTTAACATAGATTAAGATGAAAGTGAATTTATTAAACATTCTACAAATCAGTAAATTGCTAACTACTTTTAAAAGGGTACAGAAGTAATGACAAAGGTAACTGGTTGATTTTACGATATAAATGTACATATAGTATATGGTTGTAGAACGAATATAGTAATATATTATTACTTATGTAATCGTATTTCTCCACACTAGCATTTATAAAACAATTAACACACTCCATTTTAGTCGCTTACCTTGAAACCTTCATCGACGGGTATTAAAAATGTATGTCCACCTGGCGACTGATAGAGATTATCCTTACGCATTAAAGTCACTTGCGAGCGATACGATCTGCGGCGGCATGAAAAAGAGAGTAAATAAATTAAATGTAATAAATTTTTAATTAAACGACGAATTTATACCTCAAGCGATTCTCGCCGATATCTAAGATGTCGGCCTGTTTCATAAATTGATACGCATCCAAATTGGTGAACTCCATTTTGGCAGTGGGCAGAGCAGTAAGTGGCACCAAGACTTCATCGATTATGTGCATCACCTGTGAGAAACAACAATTTTTATAAATATGGCTTGAGCATATAAAGCTGACTGATAAAAAAAATTAAAAGCTTGATGTCTATACTTTAATATTTCTATTAATATCGTCTACGATTCAGATTCAGTTATGCAATAACTATTTTATATATTGTTATATGAGTACCAACTCATTTCCTTCAATTTGCCAAAACAGAGTTATCGAAGCTACATGTTAATTTTTAGGTAATCGGATCGCTCGCTAGCAAACTCAAGAACTGCTGTCCCGATTCATGACTTAAAAATCTTACATCGATCTGACATAGCTATTTACTAACCAATTCGATTCGAAAAATCGAACTTCCCTGATTTTTTTTTTTGCTAAATCTCAGAAAATTTTTGTGAAATAAGAAAACCAACAATGTGAGCATAAAGTATTATACTTAAATGTAATATCCTTCGATAAATTGATACTAGACCTCTAACTATTTTGAGGCTAACATATCTTTAAAGTTCTTGAAATGAAGTTATAGAGTTTAGCAATTCATATCTCACCTGACGCATTCCCAGACTATTGGTCATTTCGACCGTCAGCGATGGTATTATTCTGGCGTTATTCACATAAATATCGCCATTGCGATTTTTCGTTATATACAATGATGGATTGCCACCCATATCTGACGGTATAACCTTTATGAGTTCGTCCTTCGTCATTGGTGTCGTTGCTGTAATTATGCGAAATTATTATGTTAGACATACATACAACAACCACATATATATGTATAAAGCGTTGTATTTATTCGTTAGTTTAAGTAATTTATTTGTGTGAAATTTTTTCCACAACATGGACAACAAGAACAAACAATAATAATAGAAACAACAACAATATTATAATATAATAGAAAAAGTGACAATAAAAAGTTGGTGTTTTTTATGTTTCAATTAAGTGCGTTGAATACGTATTGTTACTCACTTATGTGATAGAGCACATGTGTGGGTCCATGATGGCGCTGGAATGCAGCATTTGTAGGCACAAACACCGTGCATGGTCGCAGTGTTAAAGTGGAATTCGCAATGATATTTTGCTCTAGTAAACTATAAAACTGCAAAGAATAAAAAGAAGATCAAGAAAATTTACAATTAGTTATATCCACATCAGTATAAATTAGTTATTTACAATGTGTGCGTGTACAGGGGATTAAAAAATAACTTATTCTACTAAGTGTATAGATATATTTTAATGTAGATGACTAGTTAGCATATTTAACAGTATATATCGAAAATATTAGAGTGATAATTATGTAACTAAGTAGAATATAATAAATAAAAATCGTATTTTGTAACAAACAAAGAACTTTTTAAAAATCACACCATAAAAAGTTCAGTGCAATCAGAATGTTGTAGAAAAAACCTGGTTTGGAACCACCTTGTTTTGGAAGCACATAACAAGAATTTTATGCGTTCAGCTCTACTTTTTACATAAGAGACAAATAACTCAACATATGTTAGGTTAGATGGCCGATCAAAGATCGCACGTGGACTACTATATGTAATCCTTTGTGAAGTCATAGAAAAGAAAAACTCCTGTGTTCGAACTTATAAATTAGTAAAATGCTTAGTAGACAATACAAATTTGCACAGACGTGGGTCAACGCTGGCCAAGCTTCCACGAATTCCAACTATCTAGTAGTAGAACATAAGAGGATACAGGAATACCGACCCGCTCCCATCTTACCGATAGCGGTGCTACTGTACCTTAGCTTGACAGTTCATCACCTTTGCAATTTCCTGCGATTCCGCTATGGCCTGGCACCCATATAGTCTTATCACAAAGACACTCGATGCTATTGATAGCGAGGTTAGGCACTCCTCGACGTACTGTTAATAAGCTCAAGGCTCGTGTCGCCGCCCTGCTATCTGAATAATCTCGGATAACTAAGCCGATGAAAATTAAATAATATCTTGACAAGTAGGTATTTTCTAACGGTATGTTTTCAACACTAGTAAGTTTTAAGGAGTCCATTGATGTAGATGTATCAGGCAGAGTCACACCCTTTACTTTCAAAACTCTAGATTTAAAAATACATAAACATGACTAAACTTTATTCTGTTGAAAAGTATTAAAAACTCCATTCCCGTTATTTTCAACAAAATTTTATTTCATGTGCATATTTCCCATTTCATTTACCCACAAATACTATTAATCTCTTTTTGATATATAACGTAAGGTATAGGGAGAGGGAGAGAGTAGTAAAGTGCATTGTACAAATAAATGGTTATAAAATCACAGCTATCGTGCTATAAACTGCAGCAGATAACTCAAATTGCACTCAATCGAAGCTTTCACATAAAAAAGTATTTGATGGCCTAATTTTATTACAACAACTCGTAAATACAGTGTTACTGGCTGAATGGAGCTCTCAAAGTAGTTCAGCAGAATGTGTTTCATTGCTTACCATTTCTATGCCTTCGTATATATGCATGTGTGTGCATTAGGGTAGCGCATCGTTGTGTATGAATCTTTAATGGATTGAGTGCTCATTTTTGCAATAGAATGCTGGCACTAAGAATAGTGTTATGGCTTAATTCAAACTTTTCTGCTCCAGTTGATGAATTTATGCTAAGTAAAATCTAAATTATTGGTGTATTTAAATATATGTAATTATGTATGTATATATATGTATATGTAAATGATCAGCGTGCCGAGCCAAGTCCATTTGGCCGTTTGAATATGTGCGCACTAGACACACAGTTTTTGAGCTGTCGATCTGAATTGAATTTGCACACGCCCTCTTCTCTCATATAATATATAGCTGTCATACAAATTACATGATCAAACTCAAATCCTTGTACGGAAAACTCTTTTATTTCAACCAAATTTCGCATAGACTATTATCGAAGCCAGTGCTGTAATCTTCGAATTACTGTGAAGGGTACCATAGCTTCGATGCAGCCTATTTTTTCGTTACATAAAATCACAATATACAAGTTATAGGACATTATGATAGCAATAAAGCCATTGGATGTGTTCAGTCTGGCTTTAGTTGGCGTGCAATGGTTATGTAAAAATGTATATATGTATGTATATATATAAAATATTTATATACCAGCTAGTTGTATATATTTCTGCTTTTATTCTAACTGATATCGAAAAAACAGAAAAGCGCCGCAACCCTTATATCCTGTGTGTGTGCCCCACTCCGCTACTTCGCTTGTACGGTCGCTATGGCTACAAAGTGCAAAAAACCAAAAGCGCAAAACAGACATGTAACAATGCATACATATGTATGTAGATACATTTGCTTTCATAAACCAAAAAGGCGCCCCGTTGTTGCCAAAGTTTATTGAACCAGCTATTACATCACACTTGCAACAACAACAAATGCAAAAGCAAAAACAAAATAACACCAAACACAAGCTGCAAGCTAAAAGCTTTTGCAGAGTTTTCAGTTATAACAAAAACTAGATATATGAATTTTGTATGCATGTAACAGATGCAATTAGATAGGTGTACATATATAGTATTTATGTATGAATGTACAATCGTGGCTTCAGCTTATGTAACCACCTACATAGCTTTATATATATGTATATATGTATACGCCTGATTGCATTTCGCATGGAGATGTTCAGAATCCGACTTTCTGTTGTAGCTTCCTAAAATGCATTCACATTAAATTTAATATTGTTTGCAAAATGATATTAGCCAAACAGCATATTTCATCTGTGTCATTTTACTCATTCAATTACAAATTGTTTGCTTGGAGCTCATTGTCTGGCGGCCAACGCTGCAGATGAACCAGCATTTCGTGCAACGTGCGGCAATAAAAAACGGCGAACGCCTGGCCTCAGCTGTGCGAGTAGCTGCGTCCAGTTGGCTGTACCATCGGTCGGGCCATCGACCACCGTGACTAATCATTTGCAAACTCGCTGCCACCAGTGGCTTTGTGTTGTTACCATTTCTGTTAGGCAACTGTCAGCTGCACTCACAGCACATATGCATACATATAGTTGGTAGTTGGGCGTTGCACGATTGGCGGCGTTACACTAACTATTTGCGGCCAACACACCTTCGCGCAACCCTCAATACACCAAATACCCGAGACATCCCCTGGCCACGAAGTGTCGTGTCCTTCCGTTTGTCGTGCACTGCATATCCGCTTTCTGTTTTTGTTGTTGTTATTGCTTTTAGTGTACTGCCTCCCTTACCCGCTGCTGCACTTTGCATATGAACTTGAAGGCGTGCGTATGTGTGCGACGACAACACGCACATGGCAACTGTTATTTGCTTAGTTGTTTTTGTTGTCTGTTTTTATTGACATTACAGTTGGGTAGTAGTGCTGCCAATTGGCGCAGAACAGTTGAGCATAAAGTTTGGGTAAGAGAAAACTCAAACAAAATCAACAGCAACACCAACAACAACACGAAAAGTTCGAAGCCAGGAGCTGCTAAATGAATGAATTGAATTTGGTGTCATGGTCCTTGGTTGTTCTTCGGCGTCCAACGCTCGTCATTCGCTGTTCAGTGCCTCGCTTAATATTGTTGATGTTGTTGTTTTATAATTTGTAGTTGGTGTTATTACTACTTTTGGTAGACTTCGTGTTGTATAAGGGCACCACCTTTGCAGTTGAGTGCTCTAATTTTTGTGAGGGTAGGTTGAAACTCAACTTTATGAAAGTTTTATTTGTTTTTATACACGAGTTTGTGAACTCGTTTCCGTCTGATTGTGCGATCGCTTCTTCTTTATTATTATGAGTCACTGCTATTTTATACATTTCTTATATTAAGATTATTGCATAGCTTTCTACATCAGCAGGACAATCTTGCAATTTGCATAAAATTTTAAAAGAACTTTACCTCAAAAATTTAGTAATATTTATAATAAGGTTACCACGAAGGTTATTGCAAACAGTGGTAAATGTTGGAGACCCCATAGAGTATATATGTTCGGCGTGATGTGCTATGTTGATTTAGTTTTGTCCATCTGTCTATACATATATTATATACTGGGCCCTCAGCTTCTTACCGACTACTCAACAAATCTGAATGAAGAATTTACACCTGATGTGCTGACAGTACTATAGGGTATTTAAGGTGTCTTGATTACGAATTTCACCGTTCTTCCCTCCCAAAAAGTTATTAATTTGTCGTAACTGACGATATATAATCGCTATTGGATATAACTGCTATACAAATTGATAAATCAAAAGTAAGTTCCTGTATGGAAAACTCTTTTATTCGTCAAAGGATCTTCACAAACACTATTTTTCACTGTCATTTATTTTGCTTTTAACCTAGTTGAATTTGTTCGAGCTCCTTTCAATAGCCTATTGAAAATCAATTTACAAACGCCACAGAAAACTTCTGATAATATTTTTTTGGCTGATAAATAGTATTTTTATTCAAAAATCAAACACCTTGGTGTATATAGTGTTCCCGATTACCTCTTGTCAAAAGTTCCTTTGTGCCTGTTCTAACATAGAAGAAAGCATGTTGTATGAATATTAGAAGAGCATGACACTTTAACAACATTAATATTTCGATGAACTAAACAATGGCAAGAGAACTGTTCAATTTCTTTGGAAGTCAGTAAACCGTTTGGTAAACAATGCCTTCATTACATTTTGACATACATAGAGAACTGAAGAACTTAAAAGTATATTATTCAAATTAGATGAAGTTATTAAATTTATCACAAAGTGTCTTGGAAAAGGAAACCGGAAGATTTCTTCACCTCAACACCATATACCAAATATTTTATATATTCCCTTAACATATCAAGCTGTTTCTACTGTTTCTATAAGAAAGTGTCACTGGAATTGAATCCACATGATTTGCAGTTGGAGAAAACCTTCAAAAAATACGTCACGGTGGTATGTCGCTTGTGAGATAAAACGGTTGGGTGATTCAAGTAAAGGTACTTTTTCAAAAGCCTTTTTCTGACAGATCACGCATGAGTGGTGTCAAGCTGTCATATTATATTTATTCAGTATTGTGTGGCATTTAATCATTGTAAGACTTACGCCTGAAGAGCGTTTAGCATAACAAGTCTACTGAGAGTCCTATTCGCAACTCCATCATAAATCTTAAAACCCAATATTCG